GGGGAACATCGTTGATACTAAAAGTTTGCGGTTGGATTCTCCTATAATTGATGGTACACAAGCGCATACTCATGCATACGTGTGTGGCTCTTTTTAGATAATCATTTATTTAGTAACCGTATGTTGCGTCATATAATCTTTATTGATTACGCACGGAAAAGACAATCTCATATACCCCTTCTATCTCTAAAAATGTGCCCTTTTTTACTTTCCGCGGATGCTAATGCAGTGTATTAGTTAAATCAAATGTTGCGGTATATTGGTACATGGTGCCCTGTCAACTCAAAAAGTCCAGTGTATGGTACTATGGTTAAATACATTTGCGAATTGCAGAATGATGTTTTCCAATTTGTAATAACAGGGTGCCTTTAGGAAGAGATAGACAACTAAAATTGTGGTGTACAGTGTTCTCTGACCTGTTTGTAGCAACCACAAGTCATTGGTTAATGCCACAAAACAGCTGAAACTGTTAATATTGCCTACGAAGTAACTAGTTGTTGTGTAGTTCTTGTGAGCTCATCCTTTTTTAATTGCTGCGACTCAAATGATCAGTGGATGCATCTTGATTGTTCCCATTTGTATGGAAATCGTTGGATGGATCAATTCTGTTATAACCTCAAGTTTTGGGTGAGAGTAATGTATGAAAAGTGGGACCTGAGAGTAATGTATGACAATGGCTGGAATAAGCTAGCAACAAGACTAGTCAAACAAGATTGTGCTACTCTTCTCTTGTTCATGTCTTAATCACTGTTACCTTATGGAGTTTGAAAAATTGTGATAGAAAATAAAGAATCCTACATATTACATCTCTAAACTATGCCCTTGTATTATTTATATTGTACAAGGTGAAAAAAAATCAAAGCTGCAAGCTGTTTCTGAAGGAAGTAGCAAACTGGTTGCAACCCCTATAGAGCATTCAACCAATGAGATCATTGATGGCAGCATGGTATGTTAGCGTAAAAAAGTAGAATTTCAATTGGGTTATACAGTTTTCCCTTCATGTCATCTTGACATGTCAAAGATTGTTTAATTTCATTTTCTTATGGCTAACCCTGGTGTGTGATAAAGTATATATTTTTTTTGGTCCTTTAGGTTAATACTGTTGAAGGACTCAAGGTTTATGAAGGGTTAGTAAATGTCACCGAGGCAAATAAGATCCTTTCTTTAGTTAATGAAACAAAAGCCTCTTACCGACGAGGGGGGCTTGAAGGTAACCTTTAAATGTTTTTTCTTTCCTTTCCTCCATGAGAACTTACTTGTTTTTTGTGCTTATGACCTTATGCGTGCAGCTCTCTTTTGGAAGTTTGTTTTGTCTGCTGTTTCACTTATGCTATATCTAATTTTCAATCTGCATGTAGAATGCATACCTCAATAGAACTGTGCTGGTAACCTAGAAAAAAACACTGTTTCCATGGGATAATATTGTCTCTAGTTTGGTTTTCTACTTCCGTGTTAATGGAAAATGTCCTAGTCCTTGTGCACCAGGAGGTTAATTGTTTTGGATTTTGCCAAGTTAATACTATTTTACTTGATGATACAGCTAGGCAGACGGTTATTATTGCTAAAAGACCAATGAAGGGTCATGGAAGGGAAATTGTTCAGCTGGGTGTTCCTATCATTGAAGGCCCTCCTGATGATGAAAATCAAAGAGGTATATCAAGCTTGTACTGCAGTACCTAATGTCTCGTATTTTGATGACAATTTTTGTATCTTTATTATGTGAGTCTAGAGACAAGGGTGGAGGCGATTCCTGGGCTGCTGCATGATCTGTTTGATCGCTTGTCTCGGCAGGAAATTATACCCTTCAAACCAGATTATTGTGTTATTGACATCTTCAGTGAGGTAATTTGCTTCCATTATTCTTTTGGCTTAGGGCAAGGTCAATGTATGTTCACAAGTAGTAGGGCGGGTCCTTTGACAGTAGGCAAGAGTGGTTAAATTGGTGCGATGTACATCGACATAAATAGGTAGTATGTTCTAACTGAAAAATGAGAGATATTGGTGAGAGCAAGAATAGCTGGGGTGGAGTAAGGGGAGGATGCAGGGAAGGGAGAGATTAAAATATTTGTTTAGTTCTTGTTGTCTGGTAGTAGTGCTATTGTCGAGTGACACAACTGCCGATTTTATTACCTGCCTCAACAATGTTGAGCCAAGAAACAAGGCTCCTTGCTTACCGCTTTTATTGCTCATTGTGGACACCTTGAAATGGACCATATGTATGATTAAATGATTTTTTTTTCTTTCAGGGAGACTATTCTCATCCTCACCAATCCCCTCCTTGGTATGGTAGACCTCTTTGTACCCTATGCTTAACGGATTGTGATATGGTGTTTGGCCGATCCATATCAGTAGGAGAACGAGGTGATCATAGAGGTCCTCTGAAGCTCTCGCTCGCAACTGGGTAAAACATCCCTAGTGTCTTCTCCCTGTTACATTTGGCTCTTAAAGGTTCAAACCATAGACACAGCTTCATAGTTCACACTCCACTCTTTGAATAATACATTGTGGGCTTAGTTTCTTGTTAAGGAAACAGCCATTTAGCTCTTCATCTTTTGTTTGTAAGGTTTAGATAGCACGTCATGAGACTCCATATTTGTTGAACATTATTGTCTGTCTCTAACGCAGGTCACTTCTACTCATGCAAGGGAAAAGTGTTGAATGTGCAAAGCGAGCGATTCCTGCTACACGCAAGCAGAGAGTCATACTTAATTTTGGAAAGTCTGTAGCAAGAAAGCACATCCCAGCTGAAAGTGCCCGCTTTACTCCTCCATTAACACCTCCTCCTATGCCCTGGGGTCAATCATCAAGGCCAGCTAACATCTCCCGCCATCCCCAAAGTCCTAAACACTTTGGATATGCTCCTGCCAGTGGTGTACTTCCAGCACCAGCAGTTGGACCTCACCACGTTCCACCGCCTGATGGGATGCAGCCACTGTTTGTAGCCCCTGCTCCTGTTTCTGCTGCAGCCATACCTTTCACGCCAGCTGTTCCCTTGCCAAACACAACAGCAACTTGGATACAAGAAGTTACTCCAAGGCCTGCACCGCCACGGTTCCCTGGTCCTGGTACAGGGGTCTTCCTTCCTCCGGGATCAGGTCACCCTCTGCCCCATCAGATGATGCCAGCTTCCCATGGCCATGGCGAACCCAACTCCCCACAAGGTTCATTTGCTTACCCGCATAATAAGATCACTGGCAAGGAGATGTCTAATGGCAATCTTTCTCCTAAGAACTCGCCAACAGAGAGATCTTACACAGCTGAGGAGAAACCAGAATGCAATGGGAGTTCAAATGGTGGTGGCAGCTCTGCGGATGAGAAGTCAGCTGTAGGTATGGAGCAGCAGAATGGTAGTCTGAAGAATGTTGGGAGCAGCAAGGTCCAGCCACATGGACATGCAACTAAATAGAGGGGGAGATCTAGTACATAGACAACAGAAAACTGGAGAGATGAGAAGTTAAATTTTTTGGGCCGTGAATATGCGGTAGTGCACAGAGCTTAGCAGGTCTTCGCTGTCAACTCTCTTATCCTTGACAAGAAACCTCGGTGTCAAGTTCTTGAGACTGAAAACGTTGTCCTAAATTTTGTAGCTGCTCTGTTGCAAATCTGGATTTATAACATTGCCTTAAGTTATCGTCTGCTACCATAACAGAGTTGTGGGCAGTAAAAACCATTTCTGATGTATCTTGTTGCACAATTCTTATCAACCTAGTACATCCGAAATGAAAAATGTGGGCGAAATTTCTTACATGTAACTCTGTTGTGATCGACTGATGATTGATGCATCTGTAGCAGAATACCGATGGAAGATTGTTCCTTGCTGATGGATGGTTCTGCTACAGATGTTCCCTGTGGGTGGCGATTATAACGTTGCAAGCTACGCTTAATTTGGAATGAGAACGAAAGATGGCTTTGTTGCTCTTGATGAGACCTTACCCTTATCGACGCTTAATCTAGAATGATAACGAAAGATGGTTATCGTTGTATGCTGGATTGTTTTTGAACTGATCACTCTTTTGGGACCTAAACGATTGATTTTGCAAGTATTCTTGTTCAGGACGTGGGCAAAGCATATGGATTTTTTTTTTTTGAAAGTAAAGGCAGGAGCTCTGTCGCTCAATTAAGAAGGAAATAGAGTTTTTATGTATACGCACCCATTGTGCTAAGAAACTCAGTCATAGGACCAACTCAAACGCCGGCTATAAAGCAACACACAGAAGCCACCGCTTATGCGCTTGTTGATTTAGGGCCTCTTTTGTATGGATTCTAATAAATTCCGCTCCACCTGAAACATGTACTATTCACTTGAGCTAGTTTTCTCTCTCTTCCCTCTCCCTCTTACAAAGCCATTTGGGGCAGCTGAAGCTAATTTTTTTGGCTTCACCTGCTCTAAATGGCTCTGTGTGAGAGGGAGGGGGAAGAGAGAGAAAACTGAAACAGCTCTGGTGAACAGTACACGTGTCAGGTGGAGCTGAATCCCTTAGAATCCATACCAAATAGGTCCTTAGCCCGCACTACACATGGTCCCACGCCTCTGAACGATATTTTCCTAGGCGACCTGTTTCGACGTTTTGCGCTCGTTTTCGAAAATTCTCCTATTCTTTTTCTTCCACGGGTTCCACACAATGTAAATGAGCACTCCATTAAATGTTCGGCGTTCTTGCTTTGGCACTTTGCTCGCCACATCCTCCCACTGAGTGGTCAGACCCCGGCGATCTTCTTAGGGTTGCGCATCAAAGTTTTCCTAAGATAACACCTGGCTCCTGACGGCTTTGAGCATATGGATTTATGGCGTGCAATGTGCATACGGCTCCATCTACGAGGTGAACAATTGCGCTGAACACGGATGGTTGGAGCAGTGCTGCGAATAGTAGTAGAGGCGATGAGCCTTATAATCAGTGGAGCTCCGGTTACTGTTACCCTACAATGGTAGTGCTAATCAAGAACCCTAATCATAGATCAGATCACATCACAGTCGACATGGCACACACCAGCGCTGCCGATCAGACGGCAGAGTCCGCGCCGCGGCGCATCCGGTTGCGCCTACCGTGCCTATGCAATGCCGCCCGCGCGTCACCCGACGGGAGGAACGCCGCGGCCTCCGCGCCGACGCTGCACTCAGGCAGCGGCGCAGGGTACCGGAGGCGGTCGTAGCAGTAGCCGTACGTCATGTACCGCGCCCGGAACGCCTCCATCGCCGAACGCCGCGCGGGCGACATCGCGGCAGCGTGGCCGTAGGCATCACCGTCGCTGGCACTGCCACTGCCAGGCGTCGCGCACGCCGTAGCGGGGCCGACAGCGCAGCCGCGGAGCTCGAGGTCGGCGAACTCGGCGACGTAGGGCGCGTACTTGTAGTCCACCTTGTAGCGGCCCCCCCGAGGTGGCCCAGCTGGAGCCGTCCCAGATGGTGGCGTACAGTGACATGGGCTTGGACGGGAACTGTGCGCCCATGGCCTCCGTCCGCACCACCTCCCTGATCGGTGTGTCGTCGACGTAGAATCTGCAGGAGGCACGGACAAAGGTTGTTCAACTTCAACAAGGTGAACTTTTTGAATAAAGCCCATTCTTACTGAATTCAAATATTAGTGGCAAATGCGAGCTTATAAAAGTAACAGAAGATAATCTGAGTTCTGAAGTTTGAATTCCTACGTAGGCACAAGTGGTGCCATGATTTAAGGCTTATCAGTCGTCTATCTACTGACATGTCTCTCGGTCGTAAACGATCGTGGATTATAAGCCAGAACAGTATTTTTCTCTCACACCAAACCAGCCAGCAGTAATAATCCATGATCGTTTCAGCCGAAACGAACATGCTTGAATTTTAAGCACTGGAGATTGGTAGGCATTGTCAAAGCTTTAGACTTTGGGATTGTACGACTGCGGGGCAGTAGGATGAGTCATGTTCCTTTGAAAACTAAAAAGGACATGCATGAACTGATGAACCTGAAAACAGGAGAGGGGCTCATGGCAAAATGCATGGTGAAACTGAAAAGCAGGTGGTCTATTGATGGTAGAGGCCTTTTTTGCTTCTCCATACTACCAAGAAATCAAAAGGTTGCTTGTGAGTTCTTCAGGGCACAGGCGTAAAGCAGGTGTCCAATGCAATCATGCCGGGGAAGAGGCATGCGACTATGCGAGTATTGGTGGGAGGATCAGAGATAAGAAGCTCATGCACATGTTGTGATGGATGGATGTTCAGGGTAGTGGGCATTGCAGCAGTAAATGAACCACTTTTGATGTCCACTTTTTTTCACGTGAAGATATATATGCAAGCAAGATGCATCTGCGATTTACAGCATTTCAATCACTCAGGCGAAACAAACGCCACATTTTAGAGTCTTGTTTAAAGAATGTACTATCTGATTCAGAACAGAAGATTTGAAACGTTAGTCTAGATGCAAAAGATGTCAGTGCAGAGACGAGCTACTGTAAGACGAGGTGACAGATATCATTGGCTATTGCCTAAACAGAAGCTTGTGCTCTATGTCAATTTTGGGGCCTCAGGACTTACATGATTAAAGTGACAACAGGCAAAGGAATCTACAACCTGTAAAGACGAAGAGGCCAATATCTCTCAATCATGATTCACGAGAGCAAAAAATTAAAGGAAAAGAGAGAAAAAAAGAGAGGGTGAGATGGGAAAGAATCAAACAAAAAGTACCTCAACCTAATAATGATGAAGACTGCAAGGCTCTATTAGGCTGCTATTATAAGCCGGCTTATCAACCATGATATAGTATTTTTCTCTCTCAACAAATCAGCCGTACAAATCAGCACAAACGGCCTATAGAGCAACCGAACAGAGCCTAAGTTGCTCCAGTAAACCATTGTAGAGAGAGAGAGCACGAGAACACACAAGCCATATCCAGCGCTGTTCAGTATCGTACTAACGAGGAAGTGAGCCTAACTCAATTGTTTGGACAAGAGGTGTGGCAATGCACCCAACCACATAGATTCAAATTCTGTCTCAGACTGAATTTAAGTGACTATTTCTTTTTTTAATGAAAAACCACTAGTTTCTTCTAGGTTGGATCTCATTTTTTTTTATATCGTACTAACCAGCATCGTTAGAACAGAACAGGCGAAGTACTGAAACCATGTCATCAAGGGGGCACAAAAACGTCTGTATGAATATATCACCTAATCGTCATAGTCGAGCTTTTCTTTTGGTTAATATATGTACTTGTTGTTTCAGTGCCCAATTTTTCCTATGCACACTTCAAATTTACCAAATGTTCCTAGTAAGTAGGTTTTTATTTAGGCACAATAGCCATTTTGGTCCCTCAACTATTATTCAAGGCTCACTTTCATTCCTAAACTGTCAAAACGGCCGTTCAGTTCCTCAAACTTTAGTTTTAGGATCAATTTCATCCTACAACTATAAAGATGATCGTTTTAGTCCTCAAACTTTGTATTTTATGATCAATTTCATCCATATAAACTATCAAAGTACATTTAACTTTTATTTTCAACTCAATTTTGTCTATTAAAAAAGAGAACCTTATATTTTAGGCATAATTTCATCCATAAATTATCAAAATTATAGATCTACTATTGTTTCAATATATCCATGTATTCTTAATGAATAAATAGTGTTCGATACAACGGTAATTGCTCCCATAGTATCATGTAATCGGATATATATATGGTACCATTATAAGGTAACACTAAAAATAACAGCTTAGAATTATTAATGGCCACGAAAGAGTTTTTGAATGAATATTATTTTTCTATCTCCAATCGCTGATGGTGTTGGAGCTAACTAGGTGCAACAGTACATCGTTTCACGTAGAACGTAGACAACGTTGCGTTGAAAATAAAAGTTTAAAGAATAAAATATACTTTGACAGTTTATAAATGAAATTGAGCCCAAAATACAAAGTTCGAGGACTAAAACGATCGTCTGTGTAGTTTTAGGATGAAATTGAGCCTAAAAATAAAGTTTGTGGACTAAAACGGCTATTTTAAAAGTTTAAGGACGAAACTGATCCTCGAGAAATAGTTGATGGACCAAAATAGCTATTCCGCCTTCCGCCTTTTATTTACTTGTCTCCCAAGGACAGCCAGATCACCTCAAAACTGTGTTCCAGATTTGCAACCATATACATCCTGATACGTGCTAGTACGTACTGTAGAAAACATTATCATGTAAAACAGTATCGGGGCGGTTCTTCTTACATGATCCTGTGGCGGCTCCAGTGGATGGCGTAGCGGTGGAAGTCCTCCGTGGGGTCGAACCAGAGGCCGTAGCGCTCCTCCCGTCCGACCGCCGTGCTGCCGTTACCGTACACGTTGGTCTGCACCCGCCACTCCCTGCCCCGCACGTTCCCGAGGAACTCGAAGTCCAGCTCGTCGTGCGTCCGCTCGTACACGTCCCCGTTGGACATCTGCATTGCATCGCATCACGCCATCACCCACCCAGCCGGGTTCGTCAAATACAAAACATCGCATTGGTTCGTGTGCGGTGTGCCAGATCAGGCTTGTGCAGTGTGGGGGGTTGCTCACGTAGAAGGCGACGACGACGCCGGCGGTGTGGTCGGCGGGCAGCTTGATGCGGGCGCTGAAGCTCCCGTGGAGGTACGCGGCCTGCGACGCGAACCCGGCGCCTGCGCGCAACGGAGCAGAGCAAGCAACGATGAGGTTCACGAACAGAGCAGGAACAACACGAAACACGGCTTGCCATTGCCATCGATCGGGCGAGAACAGAACAGAACAGCAAAGCCGGAGACCCACCTGTCCGCTCGTCGAGGGAGATGTGCACCCTCTTGCCCCCGCCGTGGAGCGCGAGGTTGGAGTCCCCGAACAGCTGCGTGTAGCCCTCCCCCAAGGAGAGGGACGACGTCTCCGACGGGGGAACAAGCTTGCCCGTGGCGGCAGCAGCTGACAGACACGCCGCCGCCGCCAGGAAGGCTAGGAATAGGAAGGAACAAGCCATCGGGCTGCACTGATCTCCGCTGCTTGCTCTGCTCTGCTATGCTCCGCACACCGCGCGCTCCCTGTTCTTCGCTCTCTGTCCCTCCCTAACTAGCTTTTAAATGGGCTGGAAAGGAGGGCAGCTTTTCATGCGCAGGGTGTGGAATTGGGGAGCTTGGCGAGGACTGTGAGGACATGTATGATGAGCAGCTATAGCTCTTTATTGGGAGCTGCGCAACTTGCACCGGCAGCAGTGAAGCGTTGTAGTACTGTACTACGTACGGTTTGAGCAGTGTGCCGTGGCCGCGGAGGTCTCATCCCACAGCCCTATGTGGCCTAGTATGCGCTGCGCATCAGAGAAATGCTGGATCTTTTTCTCCTGCTCCTCCATCGTCTACAAAAAGAATGCAACTACATTTCGTAAATACTATTTATATTTACGATTCTAAAATAATTTATTATAAAAATACATTTCGTAATTATTCTAATGACATTTATTTAATATTATAAATATTGATATATTTTTATCTATAACTGATCAAACTTAAGATAAAAATCATGATACTGAGTTAGAATTGTATTATTTCCTGCATGGAGGGAGTACACTACAAACCACATCTGAGTACTGTACCTAGCTGCACTACTCCAACGTCTCGCTGATTCATCTTCGATCTACCCAGCTCTCGCTCACGCCTTCTTCACTGTAAATGCGTGTTTGCCTAACGCCGCTGTGACTGTGATGCGCCTGCGCGAGGATTGTATGCCTGACCCATCAGATTGCCCGAATCCGGGCGCCACTTCCATCCCTCCCGTTGCGTCAAACAATGATAGCACACGCGTTTGGCATTTGACATTTGGCAGCGAGCGAGATCTTCCTATCCACGCATGCAATGCAGTGTCTCGCGCTCGCCTAACAACTGTGCAAATCTGGCCCGGACGCCCGGTCCATGTCTGCATGACCACCAGCGAGCCCTTGGGCCTTGGTTCAAATCAAAACCAAAACGTGGGTGGGCGCTGCCAGCGCCAGCTGATCGGACAAGATGCATTCGGATCTGACGAGGCGGCAGCAGAACTGATAAGGTAGGTACGTGTACAACCAACTCCGCGAACTCGAGGGGATTCAGTTGGCTGCCATTGATTGTGCGACGCTGTGGCGCGCGAGAGCGCCGGCAATTTAGGGGGATCGACGCACGCAACGAACTGGGAGCTCAGGACGGGAGGGACCATGCCGATTGCCGAGCCATGGGACTATGGGAGGGATGGATGGGCGAGGAAGGCGCCGATGAGGCGGGCGGATGACGAGCCTCCATTCTATTGAGTGAATTCAGATGGCCGCCGTGCAACCGCATGGCAGGCTCCGCTCAGCTGGAAACCCAGGAAGCGAGACATGTAACGTCCGCGCTTCAATGCGGGATTGATTGCCGAGCCGGCCGTTGAGGCGACGAAACGAACGGAGGGCACTCTCTTTCCTGATTTCCTCCCTCCAATGGCTGGCTGTGGCTGCCTAGCCTTTTCACCATGGTCCGTCCATAGATGGATGGATGGTCACAGTGACGGAGTGTCGTCAGTAGTAAAAGCGACATGTGATTAAACTAGGCGTTGGTAATGGCCGGCCGGTCAGCGGCGTGAATGCGGTGTCTGGGCCTCTGGGTCGGGACAGCGACGAACCACACGCCGCAACGCAAACACAACCGGAGCCGGCCGGGCCCCCAGCGGCGCCAAACAACCGTTCGTTCTCTTCCCGCCCTCCCGCGCGCGCTTTTGGACCATCTGCACGAGCGCTGATCCCGGGGCAGCAGGCTGTCGCGGCCGCGGTGAACTGGCTGGTGGCTGCCCGGCTGGCCTCTAGCTTTCGCCGCGCCTCCAGCCAGCGGTTCTGGGTCGCCGTGCCGTGCCGTTCGATGATGGGTGGCCCGCTAGCTCCTGCTTTTCTGCCGCGCTCTCGCCTCGTCGCTCCTGCGCTGATCGCTACGGATGCAGGCCTTTTGGTGGCGTGCTGAGCTGGAGGCCTTGTCCGCGCGTGGAGCTTTGCTCATGGCCGTTTCTCCCTTTCGAGTAGTGGTGCCTCCAGTCACGGCCAGGTCTTGTTCGCTAGCGGCTGCCGCTATCCAAGCCACTGTTTCCACTCTCCTCTCTCTTAGTCTTAGCACCAAAGTGCAAAGGAAAAAATAGGAACAAGTGTACTGATAACTTGGATCAACACGAGTCGTTCCTCCTATTCTTTGAACAGTTTCAGCTCAGCCTAAACTCCATCCAGGCAGAACTCGACTGTGATTTTGTCACTCTACTAGTATTCTCGTGGAGCGAATCAACAGGTTACCCCTGCCAACTTCGGTGCCGTTGAGTGGTGGGCCGGCCCGCCGTTTCGTAATGGACTAATGGGTGAGTTTGCCCGCATGGGCTGGGCGCCTGGGCACAGGCTGGCATCTTAGCCCAAACATATTTCTTTTTTTTTTCGGCATGAGGTATGAACGGAAATAGTACAAAGTTTTGTAGCAAGTTCAAGATAAAAACAACAAGTAGAACGCTAGAAGCTACTACCCCATGGAAACCGATGACCTGCTTCAAGTTCCAGATTTAACATAGGGGGAACCGAGAGCTAAAGTTTACTGAAGACTCTATTTCATTACAACATCACATAACGAAACACCAAAGACAGTTAAAAAACCAACTCTGCAACACCGGCAAGGCGGCAACTTGTACATCGGGTCATCGGCGGCGGCTCTACCCGTGCCACAGCTGTGGCCTCCTAGTCGAAGGGATGGTTCTAGAACCTTGCTACATAATGAAGGAAGCCATGAGGATTCCACTTGAGAGAGCATGGACCGCGACTCCATTTGAAGGGCTGAAGACGTGGCAAAATAAGACGCTAGATTCCTTGGTGCACATTTCGTCTTGTAAATAAAAAAGAAAAGACGCCGAACGGGCTTTGAGAGTATTGCATATAAGAAAAAAGAGAGCCCTCTGGTTAGTTTGGGCCATATATATGTTCCCTTGTTGCTCCTTGTAATACGTTTTTCTGCTGGAAGCCTGGAACAGGTAGAGCGGCGTTGGCGTAGCTTAGCGGCATTTGGAAAGCGAGCCAAAGGTCGCTTTGCAAAAGATACGATCAAGGCAGCGGCGGGTCAAGGCGCACCAACGCAGAATGACCGAGCTTTGGAGGAGTCGAGTGGAGTTTGATCTTTACGGTAATAATACTCCTCTCCTCTATGGAGTGGAGTGGAGGCATCGGCAGCGGACAACTCTCAAGGAGCTAGTCGGCATCCAGGAAGGAGGGGAAAGAAAAGAATCTTCGTTTCAAGTTGAGGCACCGCTCCGATATGATGCAGCAGTAGCACTAGCACCCGCCACCCGGGCAAACAACACTCAAGCATCCAGCTGGTGGTGATTCGGCGGGTCCTCCTGGGACACGTACGCAGCACACCGATGGGATGCTCCAACAACTCCCAGTCAGCAGAGAAAGGCTGGCTGAGTCATACGGAACCACAGCACTACCGAGAGCATCAGATGCCCCGACGACGCGAAACAATACCCGCTCGATACAGAGCGCTACCTGCAGTAGTACGATGAAGCGCGGCGTGCGTCAACGGATGGCACGCGCGCGGCGAGAACGGCTTGCTTGCGAGTCGCGACACAACTGGCGCGCGGCGGTTGGGCGGCTCTTGGCTGGTGGCGTTGACATTGCGACGCCGGCAGGCTCATGCCGTGAGTCCGTGACGACGCGGCCACCCGAATTTTTCTTCTCGCCAACGCCAAGCAGCCGGGGCCGCCTTTGCTGGTGTCCTCTGGCGGGCCGTTGTCGGACGTGTTCCACAAGGTGGTTAGACGGGCGCGCGGGTGCCATACTACCTGGGACGGCAAAACTGACGACGGCCTTATCGTACCTAACCTTACCGGCTTAGTAGGCCGTAGTGCATTGCGTCAGTGCTGCACTTGCACTCACCACGGACAAAATCATCACACGCCTATACCTATCTCAATTCTCACGGCCGGGCAAGAGATATGTTATGAAATTCGAGCTTTTTTGCTGCCGATCGATTGCTTCTGCGTCGGCACTCCACTCAGACCGGCACGCCTCGCCGTTTCTCTTTCTGCCGACTCCCGTCGCGTGGGGTCGTTTCTCTCTCTCCCGCCCGCGAGAGGCGAGACTCCAGCAAGAAGCGGTGGTTCTTGTCCGAAATCACATGCGACTTGGCCTTTCTCCCCCCTTTTTCTCCCGTGCACCGGTCTACACTCTACACGACTACACGGACGGGTGGATAGGTTCGGGCTTTGCGGTCACTACTCACACTAGTCACGAGATGCGTCGAAGCACCGCCCGGTCCACAGTGCATAGACGAACTCTCTTCGGCTCTTCTTCGATGTCTCGGTCAAACGCTAGAGCGCCATGCGCGTCGTCGACTCACTGTTCCAACGGGGAGCGTCCGATTCCAACAACACGGCGACCAGTCGGCAAAACAGCCGAAACCGAGTGAGAGACGCCGCCGCGCCGCTTTGAACCGTGGACGCGCTAGGCGGTGACGCCCCCACATCCATAGCTGCGCGGGGCCCACCCTTCGAAACAAAAATAATATAAAACACAAGACAAGCGAAGGGGGAAAATAAACAAATAAATCCAATCAAATCAAACCCCATTTCCGCGTGGCGTGGGGTGCTGCGGCGTGCAGAAGTCAACCGAGCGCAGCGCCCGCCCCGCTCCCTTCCCCTCGCCTTCCACGCCGGCCAAAAAAGAGCGACCGAAATCCGGCCGCGCCCGCCCCGGATCCAGCGACGATGTTCGGCGACTCCGACGGATCCAGGACGCCAGCGCCGCCGCGCCGGGTCCAACCCGCCGGAGCCGCCCTTCCCCAACCGGGAGCTCACGCTCAGCAGCTACCTCTGCGACAAGGCGCCGCCCGCCTCGGCGGCGGGGCCATCCTCGCCGCCCAACCCCGAGGCGGCTGCTGCCCCGGCCGACGATGCCGCGGCCAACGCCAAGCTGTGCGTCGAGCGGGATTTCCTCCACCTCTCCGCGCCCAAGCGCGGGGATCCGCCGGGCGACGACTCGTCCGTGGTCGGGGCTAAGAAGCCCCGCCTAGACTCGCTCCAGCTCTCGCTCTCCCTCTCCAACGACGCGCCCGCCCGCCGCCGGCGGCCTCCCAGCAGCCGTCCTCCTCCCTGCCTCCGTCGCAGCTCGCGTCACTCCTCCCGGTCGATGGCGATCTGCGGGGCGGGGAGCGTCGCGACCGCAGCCGCCGCGGTGCCTGCAGCCGCGCCTCGTCGCGCCGCCCCCAGGCGGACCTACAGCGCCAACACGGGGCGCACCCGGAGCATCAACTCCGACGACATGTCCTATTCCTACTCGGTGTTCTCGCACAACCCGAGCTGCTCCCTCACGCACAACTCCACCGACATCTACGCCGCCGGGGAGGGCACCAACGGCTCCGTCCACAGCCGGTTCAACTTCCGCCCCATGGGGGACGGCAGCGTCGCCTTCGCCCCGTCGCAGCTCAAGGAGGGCACCTCGTCCTTCTTACCCACGGAACTTCCCGCCAGGATGGTACCGCCAGCAGCGGCACTCAGCGCTGGCGGCAGCTTTGACGGCAGCCGCGGAGGTATGCACTCGTCACGCCCTGAGAGGATCTTGCGGGACATCGTGTCGGACCCTGTGCCTGCCATGGCTCAGGTCCTGCAGGATTTTCCCAGTGAAACCCTGGAGGTGCTGCGGGAGACTGTGCGGAGCATGATTGATGCTCCGGAGAAGAGGGACGAGCTGTCAAGCCTGCAGCGGAAGCTGGACCGTCGCTCGGACCTGACTGCCGAGGTATTGGGGCGTGCTAACAAGACGCAGCTGGAGATCCTGGTGGCTATCAAGACTGGTATGGCCACTTTTGTTACTGGTAAGGGCCGAGTTTCGAGCAGCGAGCTTGTGGAGATGTTCCTACTGACACGGTGCCGCAACATGAACTGCAAGAGTGTCGTCCCTGTGGACGACTGTGAGTGTAAGATTTGCTCCACCAAGAAGGGGTTCTGCAGTGCGTGTATGTGCCCGGTGTGCCAGAAGTTTGATTGTGCTGCAAATACATGCAGCTGGGTTGGATGTGATGTCTGCTCCCATTGGTGCCATGCCGCATGCGCGCTAGAGAAGAACTTGATAAGGCCAGGGCCAACACTGAAGGGGGCGATGGGCACAACTGAGATGCAGTTCCAATGCCTCGGCTGCAACCATGCTTCTGAGATGTTTGGGTTTGTTAAGGAGGTGTTCAATTGCTGTGCAGAGAACTGGAGTCCTGAGACGCAGATGAAAGAGCTAGACTTTGTTAGGAAGATATTTGCAGCTAGTGAGGATTTCGAGGGGAAGGGGCTCCATGCCAAGGCAGAAGAGGTCCTCAGCATGCTTTTAAAGAAAATCATTTCCCCTTCTGATGCGACGAAGACCATGCTACAATTCTTTAAATGTGAGATCTCTCTTCCTCCTTTACACTCTAGCATGTCATATTACAAGCTTGAGTTGTCTAAATGCAGTGCTGCTTGCTTCTACTAGCAAAATAATGTACGAACTTTACATTTTTTAACTTGTTAGTCATAGGTTATTGATCAACTATATCAGTTACTACCTCTGTCCGGTTAAGAATGCAATTCTGGGCCCTATTTTGGTTTTCGTTTCCAAAGTTTGACCGAATATATAGGTAAAAATATTAATATTTGTGACACTAAATAAATGTATTATGAAAATATATCTCATGACAAATATAATGATGCTAATTTTATGTCATAACTATTTATATTTTTTTATATATAATTGGTCAAACTTGAAGGCGGGCTTTAGTGTGCAGCGGTAGAGTTCACTTTGTGACCGGAAGGTCCCGGGTTCGAGTCGCGGTCTCCTCGCATTGCACATGCGAGGGTAAGGCTTGCCACTAACACCCTTCCCCAGACCCCGCATAGAGTGGGAGCTCTCTGCACTGGGTACGCCCTTTAATTGGTCAAACTTAACAAACTAAAACATTGCACTGTGCTAGAATTGCATTCTTTTGCGGATGGAGGGAGTAGATGTTAAGTTACCACCAGTGATTTCATGAGCATTTTTTTATGGCATTGCAGTCACATTTCTTTATATATTTCCTTCTGCAAGTGTGCTTTGTCAGTCCCATTCATTTAATCAGATGTCATTTGGTTGTCCAGTTACTTATCCTTCTGTGTGGTGCAATTGCTGATACAATTCTTATCTAAAGCTGCGATGTTTAATGCTGTTGTATGGCAACGTTCTTGCTAAAAATATGAATTCTTTCATCTAGAACATCTCTATCATAAGCTGATAAAACATTTGTACTAATGATCTTCTAATTTTCGTTAGTCCAAATACCTTCTCAATCAAAAATACATGGATGAACTAAACCAGGGTTGTTAGGAGCTTGAGGCCCTCTGATTTTCTTTCATGTTGTCATCTTTTATGTTAAGCACATTGTAGGATCCTCCCAGATACAACATGCTCTTTTTCTTGAATGCTTGACCACTAGACTTCTAGTTATGTCAACAGTTACATATGTTATTTGTGAAGCAAAGTATACATATTGTTGAAAATAAAAGCTGCCGCTGACTAGCTGTCTCTGTATGTTGTTGTTCAGTCACATTTTGTGATGCATTAGAAACCAGATGCCATTCTATATTAACAATGCAATATACTTGTGCATTTCGTTTCATAGAAATTATCAGATGCAGTATCTTGAGCTAACTCGTTCATTTTGACAGATGGTGTAACAGACTATTCCGTTACTGGTAGCAAGTCAAAAGGAATACTGGCGGCTCAGACGAGTAAATCTACAGATATGCTTCATCTTCAGACCCCAACCATCACTCCACCAAAATCCTCATTCAACTTCAAGCCCAGCATCTCCATTCTTGATTCACAGATGGATGTGCTCAAGGCCAGCCCAAAACCACTCTCTATAGAACCCCATTTCAGCTCCAGCTCAAAGGATGAAGACTCCTCCAGCCTTGAGACCATTGTGAAGTGCAAGGAAGCTGAGGCAAAACTGTTCCAGAAACTGGCCGATGATGCCAGGAAGGAGGTAGACAGCTACCGGCAGATCGTGCGCGCCAAGACCCAGAAGCTAGAGGAGGAGTACGCCACGAAGGTGGCAAAGCTGTGCTTCCAGGAGACGGAGGAGAAGAGGAGGAAGAAAGTCGAAGAGCTGAAGATGCTTGAGAACTCGCACTACGACTACCACAAGATGAAGCTGCGGATGCAGACCGAAATCCAGGGCCTGCTCGAGCGGATGGAAGCCACAAAGAAGATGTGGGTATAGGCTCCAGCTAACAGTTGTATGTTGCTGCTGCTGAATTATTTTCGGGTATAGAGTCCAGCTAACAACTGTCTGCTGCTATTGCTGAATACCTAAGATTTGGTGTTGTTCATTAGGAGAGATTGTCCATTTGTTGTATTTCTTCACCATCTTGTGTTATAATCTATACCTGCTGTTGTAACTTGTAAGTGGATGCCTAGCCTTGCGCTTGCTGATATAACTTGCCAGCATTCAGTTAGTGGTTTGCCAGTTTGTGCTGCTATATCATTGCAGATTTTTTTTTTTTCCAGATATGCAGATTGGAGTTGTTAGTTGTTGGGCCACAACTCCGACGTGTTGCCCCGGTGCTGTAGTAGTTGGCATCCCCATGAGAATGTCCCCGCGCCCTGCTCGTCGTCATCGGTCTTGACGAATGCAATAGATTGACACGATGTATTATATCGCCGCGCCGGATCAGTCGACAGTCGTCCCTACTGTAGTATACTCCCTAAGCTACAAACATACTGACCGTTCCATTTCAGGATAAGACTAAACCAGAGAATGGTCCCGTGATAGACAGACTACTCCATTGCAGTCTGCAGTGTAGGCAGCCTGTGGGGCGCGTACAAAAACCAGACAAAGAAACCTTATCAGTCAATTGCCACTAGTGGATTGGAATCCCTCGAAGATTTGCCTCTTCAGTCGGTTCCCTTCCCCCTTGATCATATCTTTTGTTCACGGGGCCACGGTGGGCCACAGCCATTCCTGCAAGCTGCCGAAACCCTCGAACCTTGAGCACATCGCCGGGGTGACCACCGGAACAGTTGACAGCCAGCACAAGTAGCAACTCCAGCTCGCAAGTTGCAGGAACATCTTCTGTTGCTGCCGGTTGAGGAATCATATGGGATAGCCAAGCAGAAAAACAGAAAGGGTATTTACTATGTATTTCGCCGCCAAGTTCTCTGTTGGCCTCGGACAAGCACTAACCTCTCGCTCACCGTTGCGGCTTGCGAACGCCCGGTAGCGATGGCGGCTGTCGCACCGACGCCGGCGGCGTGTCCATTTCTTGCAGCCATGGCGCATTGTGTTTCACAGTTTGAACGCGTACGAACATGCAATACAGCAATAGCATAGCAAGATCATTGAACAAAGAGATATCTCGAGCTCTTGCACATCCAACTGCTGTACAAAAATTCTTGCACGCACGAAACAATAGGAAGAATCTGGTCAAGCAAGAGACCGATCAGCGTCAGACATGGGCTGATCAGTTCAAAGAGAAAGAAGGGCGACGAAGAAAGAAACAGCCTGACGGATTAACCAGTCTAGTCGACGGATCAGTTCACACTTCACAGCCTGAGCGTCAGATCGGGCTCATCCCGGGCATGCACGGCGACGCCGCCGGCCGAGTTCAGGGCTGCGCTCCCCGCCGGCGCAGCGGCGGCTGCGGCGGCGGCTGGTCTGAAGCTACCGGGCCAGCCGAAGCTCATCTCCTCGTCGGCCACGAGGAATGGCATGGGGCTCAGCAGCCCCCGCGCGGGCCTCCTCAGCTCGGCGGCGGCGCCGTCCTCGTGCCGCTGCTGCTCCGAGTGCGCTGCCGTCGACGCGTGCGCCTGGATGCCGATGGGGTACAGGCCGGAGCCGTACAGCGGCAGGGACGCCACGTCGGCGTAGTAGCCGTAGGGACCCGTCGCGTCGAGCCGCAGCGCGCGTCGGGCCAGCGTGCGCTCCCGACGGTGCGCGTTCTGGTGCCCGCCCAGCGCCTGCGAGCTGAAGAACTTGCGCTGGCAGTAGTTGCACGTGAACACGCGCGACGGCTCGCGGGCGGCCACCGCCGCGTCGGCCTGCACGCTGCCGCTGTTACTGTTGCTGTTGCTGTTGTCGGTTGTGCTCGACTCGGCAGCAGCGGCGGCGGCGACGGCGACGGTGAGCGAGAGGTCGAGGCTGACCAGGCCGGAGGAGTTGGACGCCTCCTGGCTGCTGATCTCGGACAGCTCGTCGCACGGTTCTTGGCACATCTCCTTGCTGTTCATCTCTGACTGATGGCGACAATCTTTTCACCCGTCACTTGGTTTCTCTGTCTCACCTGCATGCAGACAACACACCAGCTCATTCTAGTAAGCACTTCTGTGTGAATGCCTCTAATAAGAATAAGATGCCCTGATCTAAATATCTAATCACGATTCTTCTGTGAACATGGCAGGTTAGGTAAGGCAGGAACACAGATGCATGGATTCATGATTAAGATATGAAACATGCTTTGTGTTCAAGGGTAGAGAAAGCAACTTTATGAGGTGTGTTCATGCACAAAACTGAGGAAAATGAGAATCCCAGTGGTTTCAGTCGAAGTTGCACTCATTGGTTTGCCTACTAGTATGCAGATTGGTGATCATCAGTTTATGACTAGCTTCAGATAAACCAATGACAAACTGATTATTTGAAGATGGGGCGTGTCTAGTCAGACAGCCTTGTGGATAAAAAGGATGTTGTCTCAAATGATTATTTTGGCTGAAATTGCTTGCAGCTTAAGTGATCCTCAAGATGGGCCTTGTTTGTCCATATGGACTAGAGGATGTCCATTGAGTAATATTTTGTCATGTGTCAGTAGGGAAACAAAATTTGTGGTTGCTGAATTACTAAGCTAAACCACCTTTTTAGAGAAAAAGAATTACTGAGCTAAAGAGTAGGCAGTGCAAATTGGATGCAGATAATAACGTAAAGAGCAAACAAGGGGAAGGGGAATCTTAGCCTATTTCCAGAGTGCTCGATTTTGTGTTCAATAATCATGAGAAGCATCTGATTCATTCATAGGCCTGGATTTGCTAGTTTCAAATTCCATGTCTGAAGACAAACATATGAAAAGCATGCCATCTTTTCTTGTCTCAGAATATCTAAAATCGAACCTTATCTAATAGTAAAGTCCAAGAATAGCATATTCCGTAGTTGTCAGAAAAGATGGGAGCTCTGTTGTTCCTATCTAAACCACATTAGTTTAAATTATGTTGTACTTTAGGTTAATTAACCTGCTCAGAATGCACCACCTAACCTTGCAGTTAAATTTTAGTGTTCTCCAGATAATTCCACTAGTTCATAGTAAAACTGTAAAGGTTGAATAACTATGCCAGATTACTAACAGGAAAGACCTCCGCTGGTATTTTCTGCATGTAATCCAAAATTTATTTGATGTAGCTACGAAATTACTAGTTGAAAATTCGAACAAGTTGAAGCACAGTTAACTCTCTTAGACAGAGTGCTGCAACATAATGTCAGCAAATTTATCTTGTTTTGGCTTGACACATTAGCAAAGCATCCGGATCAGAGATTAATCTAATGTCGCCAAGCATAGCATGGATGGAGACAGAAATATCTGGACAAGAAATATATACTATGTTACCTTACTCATCAGCTGCTTCTGGTACCACTAGACCCAAAATAATATCAGGACAAAAAACATGATGGAACTTAGACAAGACTAACATGCAAGCATGTTTTAGCATAGACACTCAACGAACAAAGTGATTTCATATCAGAATTCCACTGCCATGTCTATTAACTCGATGAAACAATCTTGGGTTTGAACGAATCATGAGAGCAAAATTTTTGGGAGAGCCTAACTAGTCTAAGATCAGAAGGATCAAAACTCTTCAGGACCCAAATTCTACTAGAAGTACCTTACTACCTTGTGGTCCAAGCCAGCATGCCCAGAGAGAGAGAACTAGCTATTCAGAAAACCGAGACGTCGAGAAGGCTACGATGAACACGAACTGCAGGAGCCAAGAACTCAAGAAAAGCTACCAAGAAACAAGAGAATCGCTGGTTACGGCGAAGGCAGAATTACCTCTACCACCCAGAAGCAGAATTCCGTGCACCGCTTCACTCCATCAGAGCCAGGCCTGAAGAAGACGACGGTGCCAAGGAACCAGCAGGCTCTGCTCAGGCCATGGCTATGGCTCCTCCTTACCAATTGCCCCTTATGCTCACCGAAGGGGGGGGGGGAGAGAGAGAGAGAGAGACTAGTGTGTGTAGAGAGAGAGAGGGGGGGAAAGTGAGGAAGAGGAGAAGGGGTGAAGTGGTGTGGGGTGGTGTTTCAGTTAAAGTGGCACCCCCCACTGGCACTGTGGTGTTTGATTATGGAAAACAGCAGAGGTTTTGTAAATTACTGGTAGGGGATGGATGTAGGACAGTGATGCCGTGCTGCTCATCTCATCTCACAAGTCACAAGTGGTGGTAGTACAGGCAAACCTGCAAAGGGAGGGGAGGGGATGTTGTATGTGTGTGTGCCTGCACTGCACTAAAGATGCACCAGGATATTATCTGTGTGTGTGTAGTTGTGTACAAGTATACATAGGCTTGAGCTTTCCATCTCTTTTGTTGTCTTTGTACCATCACCACCACCATCCAAGAAAAGGGCACAACAGAAAGTGCCCACCGCTTGCAGTAAACAACTGGGGCTGGGGCTGCTGCTCATTCATGGGATGGCACTTGTTTATTCCTTGGGGGAGTTGGATTAAGTGTGCTTCCACTTCCACCCATCTAAAGCACTGAGTTGTGATGCCCCTTCCCATTAGTCTACTAAATGTACTCGGTATATATCTCATTTCAGGGAAAGAAGGGATAGCAGCATGAAAAAGAGAGAGATGAAAGGGATTCAAAGGACGTGTGTGACTTGTGAGAGAGTTGGAGTGGTAGGGGACCAGAGGTAGCGCCATCGCCATGAGATTTTTGTCAGGGGTGACGGGGTGAGTCAGAATTGTGCCCTTTTTCCATTGCGCGTCGCAGCTGTTCTTGCGCAACATGCCTGCAAATGCAATGCAACTCCACGCCCCTCGCTGCGTACTTGACTACTAGTTGTGGGTGGTGGTGCCCATCACCAGACTACGTCCAGCAGTGGCATGGCCATGACTCAATGGCTCAACAGCAGCACAGCGACCAGTTTGTGCGTGATTTATATTTCCGGTGTCAGAAAGCAGTTCGGGTGGCTGTGCAGTGGTAGCTTTTGCAGTTTTCCTTGCTGCTGCTGCCTGCTGCCGCTCAGCTCTGCACAACATGCCTGCCTGCTCGCTGGCCCTGACCTCGTGCTGCTGAGTGCTGCTGTTTCTGAATTCTGATGGATGGACGGATGGATGGATGTGGTGGGATGGATCCGATGACCATCGCCTGCCTGATGGGTGATGGTTGCTGCCTTGCTGGTGCGGATGCGCAGCGAGCGCACTGTGCCCGCCGCTGCAGCTGCCATTCCCTTTGGATGGTTGGAAGGGGGACAGAACGGGCCGGTGGGAAAAAGAAAAGAAAAGATGGGAGTTCGTACGCCGAGTCGCCGAGGGCTTTGGCCTTTGGGCAAAAGCCGAGATGAGTTTTGTACAGCCACTGTCCGCACTCTGCAAAGCGAGATTGCCGACTGCGAATCTGCACTGCCAGATCTGAAATTTATTCCTCAAAACAATCGTGTACAAGTACGCTGTAGAGAGCCCAGTGTTCTGTTCTGCAACAGCGACTAGTGTTCGTACTAAAATTATATTGACTCGACCGATTCTCGAGCTCAGCAATCTGCATTTCGGATCCGGGGCAAATGTTCAGGCAATCTGCTGCGACACATGCTGGCTAGTGGCTATGATGTTTGTTTCTAACACCACGTTAGAATACAATTCTCATATTTCGAGGAGTTAAACAGTCTAAATTTTAATTATAGAATATATTTTTAAAATAAGTTTATTTGAAGACCTAAATGTTATTACTATTTACTATATACTTAGTTAAACTTGAAATACTTTGACCGGCACGATTTTTATAATTACATTCTTTTATGAACGGAGGTATTAGAATGCTCCTCGCAGATGACGAGCAACTCCCACTACGTGGTATATGATGTGTTCTATGACTATTTCGCCGAGTCACGCACGACAATCAAATCCAGGGGAGAGGATGAAGGAGATGGAACCACCCATGTGCTTCACGAAAGCACGAGATTGGTCATGAAGTGGCAAAAAAAAAAGGGAGATAGATTCATTACCAAGCAGCCATGGCCTTTTGTTCGAAGGCTACATGCGGGGTAAAGAGTGGTGTTGGACTTGAACAACAAAAAAGAAGAGAAAAGGCGTGGCCGAAAAAAAGGATCAGGTAAAGTGATTGAATGGCGGTGCATGAACATCAGTTGGAAAAAAAACAAACTCTGTTTTAACCGGTGGAGCATGTGATCCGAGTACGAGATAAATAAAAGGTAGTGTGCACCCTTCAAATTGTCGTTTTAAGACGCATACGAGTTCTCAGGTGGGCATTTCACAAAGATTTGCTGAGTTGCTGCTCCTTGTACATGGGAATAATATGTTCCCATCTACCCACTAACAACTGAGCAACAGCACACCCTGTTCACCTTCCACAATTTTCCAAGTCCATTCCCCATACAAGGATGCAATCAGTCATGTCAGTGGGTGAAATCCGTAAAAGCTACTGTGTATTCATTAGTACAATACTATCTGTAGAATTAGTCCGTCTGAATCATAAATCAAGTATGATGGCTTTAACACGCTTCAGTTTCTCTCAAGAAGCTCAATGAGCAGCTCTACAACAGCTATACCATTCGCTAATCCCCAAGCTTCAAACAACACCTGGGGGTATCTACATAGTTGTACTTCTGTAGGATCTAGCACAAAGAGGAAGAAAAGCAACACAGAGCACAGCAGCTGAGGCAACTGGAAGAAGAATCTGTAGCCATCAACCATGTCAAATCCTATGATACAATTTTACCCCTCAGACAAAAATCTAATACCGTACATGAATACCTCCTTAGTTGTCGTCCTATCAGGTTACCACCAAATTATCTGAAAAATCGAGAACATTACAGCAGCAATCAGAGTCGGTATTCTGTAAACTTAATGGTAGCTCACAAGTAAATTGTTCCTTACATCAGCAGTCAGAAAGAGAGAAGTTTCAGCTTTTAATCCTTGTACCAATTTCCATTTGATTTCTCATCCTCAAGCACTTTAAGCTTCTCCTGCAAGAATTAGGAGTGCCTCACATAAGTTTCTCAAAGTCAAGAGGGCAAGATCAAATCTAAAATTCCAAAAAGGTGTGCATACACCTCCCAACCACTGGCATTAAAAAAAGGGAGAAGTCCCTTTTTTTTTGCCATAGAACTATCGCGGAGTTCGGTTTCGGTCACTGAACTTGAAAACCAGAAATCTTTAGCCATTCAATTGTGTAAACCAGACATATTTGGCCACCGCACCCCTTTAATGCTGGTTTCACTGGTTTTGACCGCCACGCTGGACAGTCAGCATGCTGACTCAGATTGGGCCCACCCATGAGGCCCTCCTCTCCCTCTGTGCCAATGATTGGTGGGTCCCCCTGCTCATCCCTTATCTCCAGCCGTTCCCCATCTTTCTCTCAGAGCGCTGCCCATGGCCGAGCATCGCCCCCAACCGAGCGCTGACCTCATCCCCTTCGAGCGTCAACCTCACCATCTCGAGCACTGCCCCCATGACGAGCGCTGGCCATTGTGCGCAGCCATCGCCGAACGCCGCCCCTGCCCAAGGTGGCCTGCGCCATCGCCGAACGGACCACTTGAGCTTGTTCAGCACCGTGCTGTAGTAGTCCAAAGCGGAGGCGGCATGGCCACTCATGCCAGCTCCAGCCATGGCAGTTGGTTGGTGGCTGTGGTGCTGCAGCTTGGCTGCGTGGACATCAGCTCGAACCTGCTGCTACTGCTATTGCACTGCTCTATTTTCCTTCTCGGTCAATAAATCCAAGCAACCAGCTTCTCCTTCAATCGACAACCACTAGCAGTAGCAGCAGCAGCTCCCATCAACTAGCACTCACCTTCCTTTCTCTGCTCCAATCCCTCTTACATGTAGAGATGTATTTTCTGAGGTAAAAAACAAAAGAGAAAGCTTACATGTAGAGATGTATTTTCCGAGGTCAAGCTATCACACTTCTCCTGAAGTTGTTTCAATTCTTCTTTAAGTGAACTATTTTCCTGCTTTAGCAAATCTGCACGATTATTACTTCCTCCCATTCAGCCTGTAGTATGCCATAAAAAATATAGAATACATCAAAGGCTCGCATGAAGCAAAGGACATCAAAGTATATGAACAAACGTGGCAGCATCTACCCTTTTAGGTGTCACAGCTCGGAAATAAATAAATAAAATCTGTGGGTCCTGCTATCAGCTATATGCATGAGCTTGGAAACAAATATGCAGCTGTTTTCACAATGTGCCTCAATTGTTTTCTTTAGCCTTATGGAAAATTTATGATATATTATTCCTTGGACTTTATCTACTTTCTATGATCCTGGTTCAACCATCATCTTCTAAGGAAAAAAAAAACTGCTGACATATTAGTCCTCAACTAGTCGTATTGTTAGTTGAAATGTTGGTCGTCATCCATGAACGATAACTCATCACTACAGTAGCACCATCTTTATTCTTGACTCTAAGAACATGCGCAGGAACACATGCATGGTCCACATGGTTATGCATATTTAGCAATTATTCTCATCATCTACTGCAGTCAATTCAAGTAGGTTCAACCAGATCCTAATATACTGTGGTTTGAGTTATGTATATATACATATGTTGAGTTCATATTGCGCAGAATTCTACAGGAACTGCATAATGTCATGATCCAATAGACTTTATGACCTTATACAAGAGAATAGGTAAAAGCTGACTAATGTTTCATGTTGGCAAAAGTTATCCTCCTCCGATCCTCCCTTAACTTACCCTACTGTTTTCAACTAGATCCATGAACCATGATACAGATTGACTAGGTATAGATGGGATAACAGGAGCTAGTCACCCTCGCTCTGGAGGCTCTGGCAGCTTCTTTTTTGTTGTTCTTGCTTGATTTCAACTGGTAGTGTGCCTATGCTTTATATCCAACCCCTAACACAAGATGCTAACACACTTAACAAACTAACCAAATGACCTTATCTTCCTTACAAATCTTATCTTAAACCAATTCTAAACCGACTTAGCATAAGTGTCTTGACTGGTTGATGCTGCTGCAAACTGGTGGCCCAAACCCCACACCCATAACTCCCATCAGTAACAAGATGGTCACTCCTAAATAAGCGGTTAGCAGAAATGCAAACTATTCACAAGATATAGGATAAATTATAACATCCCATGATTCTTATTAAACGCTGCAGACATTACAGACCTGCTTGCGCAATCTTGAGCGTCGAGCTGATTCCCTATTTGATTGCTTCCGTTTTTGTCTCTTCAGTTCTCTCCCATCCTATATTAATAAGAAAATAACGCTAAGTAAGAAATGCAAGGTAAGTACTAGAACAAAATAAAAACAAGGAGAACCAAATCCTGCACAGTGACAGACCTGTATAGCCGGATCACTGAGAACAATATCACGTGAATTTGATGAAGGAGCTGATGTCGGTGCTGCAATAACTTTACCATGCATGGGTACAGAAGCAGGAGTACCCCAGTAATCCACTCCCATACTCAGAGTAGTTGCTGGGCCAGCCATAGGAGGGGGAACAGGCCAAAATGGCATCATAGGGTTAAGCACAACAGGCCCAGAAGATGGTTGTGTGGGCTCAACTGCAGAGCTTTGAGTACCTTTACTCCGAACATCTGGCGGAAAAGAAGGAACATAACTATCGTATCCAATGTTTTGTGCTAAATAAAAACACAAATTTGTTTCTCAGTACCTATTCCCACACGGGGCTAAAAGTAGTTGGTTATAAGTTATATCTATATATAAAGCTTCAAGTCTTACCATTACCTTGACCTTGCTCAGAACCATCCTTCGCCCTTGAACTCTGCAAGCAAATTATTTGTTTATGCCAGTTAGTATGAATTAGCATGATGATGATCATATCCAACATACAAAGGAACAAAAATGGAGGAGGGTAGGATGCATCCTTCTAGTTTGTCCATGAGCTAGCAGGTAAACCATGTTGGAAGCGAGGATAACATAGATACATCCAACTTGTAAGTCACTATAATAACCAAAGAAACGAAATATGAAACAGAAGACTAGATTTGCAAATGGTAAAGTATCTCATGCAACACATGGAACCTGGGCAATTAATGAAACTTAATACAAGGCTACAGATTGGTTCTTTAGAATTTGTTTTGAAAAATGAACTGGATACTCATTACTCAGCATCCTCTTAAAATACCATGTACACAGACAGAACCAGTAGCAAACTGTACCAAATTGCACATCTCATGCACTCGATCTGCATACTGCAGATGCTGCCCAGAGGATTTCAAGATTAGAGCTGAAATTACTCCCACAAACTAGGCCTTCCGTAATGGGGAGGAGAGTGAAACAGTAACATACTGCTTTGGAATTTGTACTAATAGCATTCTGAAGTCAAATGTTAAGTAATATAACGGAATGACATACACTTTTTGAATTTGTACTGCTTCCTTCAGAAGAACTCCTGCTTCCACTCTCACTGTATAATAGATAGTGGATTCAATAATTTATCTGTTAGTATAACAAAAAAAAAGTAATAAAATTACCTTTGTGAAGAACCTTCATTGGAGGAAGAAGCTGAAGGCTTTGCCGGTGACTTGTTGTTTTTTACTGCAACAACATCCAGACTACCTAAGCTTCCTTTTGATCTTTTCAGGGGAGTCTTCCGCTTATTTTTATTCGATTTATTTGTCTCTGTACCGCCAGCACCAGATGTCTAACAACATAACCCAATCAAAAAAAAAAATCTTATCTGCTTTGAGGAAACAGATGGCATAAATAGGACTCGAACAAATGAATTCCTAAGTATAAATGACAGAGAACAGTTGAGATGGAAAGCTTTAGAAAGGAATGGGTGAAATTCTGCATGACTGCATCCATTCCGCAACAATAAATAGATCAAATAAAAGGTGCCCATTAACTTACTGGAGTTTGAACTGTCCCATTTGGTGACTGCATAGGATAATAAGGACTGTATGGGTGTGAACCCTGAACCAAAAACAAGGACATTTTACTTCATTACTATATCAACCAAGCATTAACACAATATAAGAACATGCTCTAAAGTAAAATGAGGTACATTACCGGTGGCATCGGTGCCTGCTGATATGGTGTGCCTTGTGCATACATTGCTGCATATGGTGGTGGTGTCCCATAAGGAGGCATCATCTATACCAATTAAATAATCAAATGTTAGATGACTGATTATCTCCAGAGCTACAGTGGTTACGGTAGCTGATAGTATCCTTAAAATAAATAAATGCTAGCAAACCCTATGAACAAAGTGTTAAAAAATCTGCCAAACTCGTACCTTGTACTACAGTTAACAGACAGATTCATCCTAACATCTACTCACAAAACCTCATGATTGCAGACTTACACTAGCTACTAGACTTATTCTTGCAAAATGGTTGAAGAGAGAGAATATACCTGTGGACCCCACATATATGGGTGCCCCTGAGGGCTTGGAGCTACAGATGAATGAAAAAAAGCCGGTGGGGTCACAGGAGCTGTCCCAGCAGCATTATAGTATGCCTACAGATTTATATTAACAGTTACACAAATAAATCTACTAGATCAATAAAAAAGCAATACAGCACAATTCCATTTTACACACCTGGAACTGAGACCAATCAGGATATGCTGTGGGGGGGTTAGTAGGTGTACTCTGCTCATTCTGAAATAAGAAAGATAAGGTAAGAGGGTGCCAGTAGTTACTCTTGTAGTTCCAGATTAACCATACAAACCTGTATTGCTGACGATTTTTGAGATTTGGACCTAGTAGCCACATCTCCCTTTCCCATTGTTTATTTCTCTCCTCTATCCTTATGTTCCTTTTGCCTTTATTCTCTTGTCCCAAAAGGACAGAGCTTTCACTTCGAAGCAAAAGGCAACATCTTAGGGTCGATGGACATAAGCAACAAAAACAAACTCCATCAAAAAGATTCAGTTAATTAGAACCCCAAGGGTCTCGAATTTGCCATTTCTTTTTGTAATGATTGAAAAATAGTGAAGAATCACAAACTGGAGAACACATGACGCTGAGAATATGAAGGATCAAACACTCACCATGTTCCGTGTCCAATCTGGATATGACCCGAAAATTTGTTCCTTCAACAAAAACGTGGCAATAGCTTCTAACTCTGCAACTTCTACAGGGATAGAGCCTGTGAAGGCATTGAAGGACAGATTAAGTGCCTAACCTGCGGGAAAAAGTGAATGACAGATTCAGTGTCTAACCATAACAAAATGATAAATCCTAAATTTTAAAACCTTTATAAGAGAAGCTTGTACTCAACCATTAAGAACAACAATAATGGTTTAGGAGGCAGATAGCCAGATATAATGGGCAAAAGGGAAAGACCTATGGTAGCCTTTTTTATGATTAATAGTTCACCTAATTCCATCAAATGTGACTTGACACAAATACACCAGTAGCTATTCTACAAGTATTTTTAGACGCTACGTTTTTGGAAGCTAACATCTGGGAAATGGAAACAAGGGGCCTTGTCTTTCGATGTATTGAACTACAGGAAAGTCAAGAAAACAATAACAATCATTTTGATTCACCCTCCATATGTGTTCCAACATTGAAAGAAAAGCTTTGTTTGCTACGTCAAGATACCATCATGCTTAATTGCTATGGGTGTATCGATGCTTTGTGTCGCGGGTGTGCAACCATGCAAGGCATT